ACAAAGTCCGAAGATGGATTTATCCAAATTACTTGCCTTGTTGGCAATGTTGTTGGAGAGCCAATCGAGCCCCTCATACAGCCCCTCACCAGAGGTAGCACAGGTGCTCTGGATGTACCTGTAAGCCAAAAAAGAACGAGCAAAGAAAATCGAGCAATTAGGATATTTAAAAGGGATTTAATCAAGTATTGATCTCAAATGGGTAAAAGGTTTATGAATATGTGAATTACCAGTGGCGCTGCCTGAGAGAGTGAAGGCCAAGCTTGTCAGTTATTTCAGCAGCATTCATTGCATTAGGGAGATCTTGCTTGTTGGCAAACACAAGTAGTACAGCATCCCTCAACTCATCCTGAGACCAATAAAAAACTATAATTCTGGCAATCTTTGTACTTTTTTTTTTTCTTTTTTGTGTCAAGAAATAATCGAAGGAAAATCACTAGATAAATCGACAGAATAGATATATGGCTTACAATTTCCACAAATTTTGGTAATCCCATTCTAGTGATAGAAATGGCAATAATATTTGAATTGTTACTGAGAAACAACATCGTGTTCCATCAAATTATTGTTGAGGTTCTCAGTTCTTAGAATATAATGTGACATGATTAGCGGGGAGGTGGTAATTATTAACCTCGTTTAACATCCTGTGTAATTCATCTCTAGCTTCGACCACACGGTCCCTGTCATTGCTATCCACCACAAAAATGAGACCCTGGGTGTTCTGGAAGTAGTGCCTCCACAATGGACGGATCTGTAAACATAGGTTGTATAACACAGTTTTATTTATGTAAAGCCAATGAAAAAGCAATAATTATTGTCAAATAGTTAGATATACAGCATTATTTTATGATCTGACAATCTTCTTAAAGAAGCACTAAGAGCTCAATTTGTTTATTTGGATAATGGAATAAAATTACAGATTGATCTGGTTATCATAGATGCAAAGATATCCTACCTTGTCCTGACCCCCAACATCCCAGACAGTGAAGCTGATGTTCTTGTACTCAACAGTCTCAACATTAAAGCCTGGATAACATCAACCCAAGAAAGGGACAGTGGTAACCAACCCAACTAATCGAAACCAGAAAATCCAGATAAACTTAAAATGTTGTGATATAGAATAACAACAGAAAGGAAAATGGGCATACCAATGGTAGGGATGGTCGTGACAATCTCCCCAAGCTTGAGCTTGTACAGAATTGTGGTCTTACCAGCAGCATCAAGACCGACCATCAGAATACGCATCTCCTTCTTGGCAAAAAGCCGGCTGAAAAGCTTCGTAAATGTTAGCCCCATTTCTCTTTCTCGCTTTTGAAACCTGCAAAACATCGTCCCACCGTTGGGATTAGAAAATGGATATCTTTTATAGTCTCGGTCCATACACTCTCATTCTACTCTAACACATCTAACACATTCATCCTTAATAAATACATAACCTAGAATTCTATGCATCATGTGTTAAAAAGGAACCACGGATAGGTGTAGCATAATTCTTCAGAACAATACAAAGAGACCACACAAAATGCCTATATATGCATATGACGGACTCAACTCCAGCCTATCAATCACAACATTTTATGAAATATACCTCACAGAATGGAAAAAATGCCCACGTGTTCTTGTTAAACTAGGTAGACAGGAAAATGAATAATGAATTTGAGCTTAGGACTGAAGCATACTAACATGATCACATTGTACACACACCAACAAAATAATTCAGATATTCGTACAACAGAGCAAACATAAAATGCCCAAAAATATATAAAAATAAATTCACAACCTGGATCACACAGATCTACAAGCAAAATCAATTACATATACAACACATAACCGCAACAACCTCTCGGTTCTCAGTTCTCATATTCTCAGATCGCACAGTTGCAATTCACAAATCAAATCAACAAGATCGAACCGATTCAATATCAAAATTCCGGATCAGATCTACATATATTTACTCGAAGCTCAATTAACAGCAAATGAAAAAAGGAAATGCAACAGAGAAAAGAAAATTTTTAAATCCACCATATATTCAACTAAATCCAGATGAAAAGCATCTTAATTTCTACCGATCACGAAGTTTCAAGCACAAAAAAACTCGATCGACGCCGATTCAAGAATCCCAAACACATAGGAAGTCGAGATCGCACAATTGAAACCCGATCATAACAACAAGCCAATAAAATCAAAATCACACACAACCAAAAACCAAATCTCATGAGATACAAGCACAACGAGTTTAAACACGAACAATTTTTTATCGCATACCTTGAAAAGATGGATCGATAAAATTTTCAGAAAGAGACTATTGTCTTTTTGTGGAGCTGCCTGAGGCTAACGCGAATCTATTTTTCGGGGAGGATTGAGGGACGCAAGCCAGTGGATATTTATACGAGATGCTCTCCAAATATTTTACACGTAAATGACTATTGTGCCATTTGGTAGTTCTTGAAATGACGGGGCTGCCCCTTCAGGAAATAACATTGGTTTGACACTTGACTGCGTGTCTGCTTTTCCACCACCGTTGGATCTCATGAAATAGCATTCATTGACTGCGTGTCTGCCTTCTCACCACCGTTGGATCTATGCCTCATGACTCGTGAGAGCGTTGGCATTTGAAGGCTCGACCGTGATTTAGTTGAGTTTGTTTGTCTTTATATGCAGCGTAAAGAAATGTCAAATGAAAAAGTTTGCCCGTCAATTTCATTCAACTCTACTTATTAAAGTTTGAAAACTTTGAATTTAACTTGATTCATTTGATAAATAAGTCGAGTTGAAACTTCATTAATTCAGATTTAGCTTGATTCATTTAATAAATAAGTTCAGTTTGAATTTGATTAATCTCACCAGTTTACAGTTTCTAGGATTGTATCTGGTTTACATCATTTAATTTATATAGTAAAACTTTATTACTTGTTGTATTACTTGGTCACTAGTTTTGGGTTCATCTCAAATTTATCTAATAACTTTTGCAATTCAAAAAAAATATCTTAATAAAAGTTGAACCAGACATGCCAAAAATGTGAAAATTGCACATTAATTAATTGCAAAAAATGGGCAAAAATATTTTCACTAACTCAGGTATTTGTGCAAAAAATGTTTTATCTCTCATGCTCTTGTCTCTCTCCAAAAA